CAACAATACTAGAAAGAGGAACTTATAACTAGAAAGAGTAACAGCTGAGTCATTCAGTATCAAAAATCTACCGAAAAAAGTTCGGAAAAAATGGAACGAACTTGAATGAAGCCTTATTATTAAGCTAAAAACTAACAAAGTCTAAAACAGGCAAAAATTGGGTGGCAACAACCGAATATACAGGGTAATACATATACAGGGGGGACTCAGTTACTACCAGTAGAATGCCATTGAACAAAGACAGTCATACAAATAAGTACTAGAAAGAGGAAATTTTTGGGTAAGAAATGTGCAGTAATTGACGATTTTACTTTATGTAACAGTTTATTATTACGAAAAAAGTACGGAAAAATATAGAAAGAATTTGAATGAAGCCTTATTATTAAGCCAAAAACTAGCAAAGCCTAAAGGAGACAAAAATTAGGTGGCAACAAGCGAATATACAGGGTGAGTCAGTTAATACCATTTGAATGCCAGTGATCATAAAGAAACCTGAAAAGAAACACACGAAACTCCAACTTTTGATCGTCAAATTAAAAATTTTGCCTAAAAATGAACAATCGAGTCGTTCTGATTTAAAAATTCTGTTCAAACAATAAAAGCGTAATTGACGTAGTTACATATTTGCAAAAGCGTAGCGTCGACAGCGCCACAATAACATGGAAATTATAATTCGCGATATAAACAAAACGAAATTCAGTAACAGTTTTCGGTTTCTGACATTTAAATAATTTATTTCGGTCGTGATACCGTCGAGCGTTTAATAAGTTTATAAGTGAGATAATCACCCGAAATAACCCACCTTGTTGGTGCGTAGTTGGACAAGATAGCGTGCGAGTCGCGCGGTTTCTCGCTGTTCTTTTGCATGATGCGAAGAGATGATGGGCGAAGAGCGCCGGGAACTGAAATGCAAAAATTTCCGAATTTCTCTTTGTCGAAACCGGCGAAAAGTGGGCAAAGTCGGCGGGGCCTCGCGCTGATTTCATTTATTAAAATAGAATAAAAGGCCCCGTGATATCATCGTTTGATATTAGGCAAATGAGTGGCTTCTAAATTTATTCCGGCGAAATTAAACATTTTTATGATCTTGCACCGTCTGTTTTCATGTTTGTATTGTTTTTCCATTTTCTCGCGCGTGGGTTGCGTTCGACTGGACTGAACAACATCGCGTCTGGAACAGAGTGATGATTGACTCCAACCTCCTACCGATCATCATCATCATCATCACACATTAAATCGCAGTTGATCCTAGTTTATTGGCCCAACAATCACTCGATACTCTAGCACTAGTTCCGTTGCTGATGTCACAACGCGCGCGTGTTGTGAAACACCGTTACTTTTTTTAATTGGTGATTCTCTGATCTACACATGTTTTATTGATCTCATGAAGCGCTTTGTTGATTCTGTTGAGTGAATATTTATTTTTAACATCATCGAGTGGCTGCTGCACCAGGCACCTCCAATCTCAAAGTTTGTGATCAGTGATCGGCAACTGTTCCAGACTCACTTTGCGTTGCTTAGAGCAGCTGGACTTCTTCAGGTTAGTCCTAGACTTAACATTTTTTCTTAAGATTTTTCTTTGAAAATAGACCAAAAATCTTCTAGATATATTTGAGAAGCGCGATTTTGTTTGTATGCCGACAGGGTGTTTTGTAGGTGGGTCGTTCGTTTAGGGGGCTTCAAAAGTTGATAAAAACTTTCTCAGATGACGAAAAGGTTAATTTGTTTACGGTACAGGGTGGCAAAGGTTTCTTTTTTATTTTACCTGGTATTATTCGTGATGTTGCAGCCAAAGCTGAGGATTTTTTTAGAAAAACTTCTAAGGGCGCCACTTGGGCTTCTGCAAAAGTTCAAAATAGCATACCTTTTTTGTGCCTGCCTGTATTAATCTCAATTAAAAAGAAATTGATTCTCCATTTATATTTGCCCGAAAAAGCGCTGTTGTCTAATTCCGCCAAATTTTGAAGTTTTTGAGTTATTTTCAAATAATAAAGATAGAAAATAAGAACGAAATCGTTGAGATTTCTGGCAAGTTTTCCAAAAAAACCTTGGTTTGTTGGGGTTCAGGAAGAGCTGACAACGATGCTCAACAACTTTCCTATGTAAACGTATAAGGTGGCACAAAAAACTTTTGATTTCTAGTAACGCAAAAACTAAACTTTTTGAAAATAGCGCAGAAATCGTCTATATGCCTTTGAGGAGCGCCATTTCTTCGTTTGTATACATTGTGGTTTTGGAGGTATGTCCTACAAAACTGAGAATTTTTTTAGAGAAGCTTCTCAGGGCGCCACTTGGGCATCTGCAAATGTTCAAAATCGCATAACTTTTTTGTGCTTACCAGTATTAATGTCAATTGAAAATAAATTGATTCTCCAGTTATATTTGCACGAAAAAGCGCTGATGTCTAATTCCGCCAAATTTTGCAGTTTTTGAGTTATTTTCAAATAACAAAGATAGAAAATCAGAACGAAATTGTCGAGATTTCTGGCAAGTTTTCCAAAAAAACATTATTGGTTTGTTGGGTTCAGGAAGAGCTGACAACGACGTTCAACAACTTTCCTGTGTAAACCTATAAGGTGGCCCAAAAAAAAAACCTTTCAATTCTTGCAACGCAAAAACAAAAATTTCTGAAAATAGGGCAAAAAACGTTTATATACCTTTGAGAGCGCCATTTCTTTATTCGTATAGAGGAGGATTTTGCAGGTGTGTCCTTCAAAGCTGGGGATTTTTTTAGAGAAACTTCTTAGGGCGCCACTTGGGTATCTGCAAAAGTTCAAAATCGCATAACTTTTTTGCGCCTACCGGTATTAATCTCAATTAACAAGAAATTTATTCTGTGTTGATATTTGCTCGAAAACACCCTGTTGTCTGATGCCGCCAAAACTAGCAGTTTTCCAGTTATTTTCAAATAAATGCATTTTAATTGTTCTTTTTCCAAAACGTTTTCACACTTTCAAAAAAAACTCGATCTCGACAACGATGCTCAAAAACTTTGGTGGCCCAAAAAATTGTTATTTTCTAGTTACTCAAACACTAAACGGCTTTCAGAAGATTTTCGTGTTAAAATAACGTTTTCCATCGATTCGATTCGTGTGAATAGTGTCTTCAAAAATTGCGTTATTATTCCTATAGGGGGCCTTTAGGAGGACTTTTTTTTGACCGCAAACGAAGCAAAATTTGATTTTTCATCTGATGTTGATGCCCAAATGCTTCAGTGAAAATTAGCTAATTAATGTAAATCCACAGGCGTAAACATGGGGGTTTTCAGGATTTACACATTTCAAATTTCCCTTGCAACTTTTTTGTAGCTCAACTTGCAACAGTTGCAACCTCGTTCAAACAGACAAAAAGGCCAATATTTCACAGCTTTAAGGCTTCCGAACTACTTTATTTTGAACCAGAAAAAAACCCATCGCTTGAAAGTTCTAATTTGAACCACGAAGCCTAAAACCTTCTTTATTTTCGGTATTATTTTAAAATTTCTTTGCTTTCTCGGAAAACGTTTTTTCTATTAGTCAGATATTTCGGCCCGTTGCTGAATATAAACTTGAATTGCCATTCACTCTGAAAAATGTACAATTTTGGAACTACAAGGAATTGAAGAAAAGTCTAGTAATAAGCTCTAAGTGTAGCTCTCGAGAGCCTCAATCGAAAAGGCTCTAATGATTATTGTGATATTCTCAACCGTTCCCGAGATATAAGCGAAAACGTGAAACAATTCATGAAATTTGACTCTGCCTATTTGGAGGTTAAGAACTTGGCGTGTTCCTTCAGTAATATGGCTCTCAGAAGGGCTCCCGAGAAGGTCAAGAGGACATTTTGGATATTTACAATCATTTAGGAAATAAAAGCTGTTTACCCTTAGAAATTTCGTTTACGATTGATATTTTTGCTTCTACGTCTTTGGAGATTAGGAACTCCTGATGAAACCTAAGTCGTAAAATCTATTTATCAACACGGGCTATCGAAAAGATCATATTTACTGTTCTGAATTTTTGAACCGTTTCCGGATTATGATACATTTTCTAACCGAAAAGTTTCAGCTCAATATACTGAAAAATACGTACCCTTACATACACTCAGAAAACAGTTATTTGCACACTCAAATCTCCGTTATTTATTTCGGATTTTACCCCAAAAGGTGCTTCCAAACACTTTCCAAAGTCATAAATTAGGAGTCTTAAGTCGCAGACCATGTAAAAAACCATGTAAATTTCGCACTTTATCTTCGTGAGGATTGGCAATTGATGGATTGCTTATTGTTAGAAGTTGAGCTTACGAGGAAAGGAAAGAAATACATTGGTTGCTTCAATTGGAGGAGATTTTCGTCTAAAATAAGCTCCGATGGATAGAGGACTGGACTAGAAGAAAATTGAATTAGAGCAAACCATATTTATTGCGGCTTCTTTGAACCGGTTCAGAGCCGTTAGTACCAAAAGTACTTCTGAGTCTTCAGCAGACTCAGAAATTTCAGATTGTTTGAATAAAGTTGAAGTTGGCGTAAATCTGGAAATGCGAAGGAACTGGATGAAAAGTACCAGAACAGACCACAAGTGAAACTTCGGCAAAAGTCCTTTGAATCCGCAGAAAATGCATCTTGGTCTTCAGCAATATTAACATTGTTGTTGTTTCAGAGACAAATTTAGTTCATTATCTCCCTAACACCGGAAAACTATGCAAATCTGAACCACAAATTACATAAATGCTTGACAATCAACCGCACTGATATCAAAATGGCTTGAAATTCTATAATTTAATAACAATTTGTATTGCGTTATAAATAAGCGCACTTCAACTAGAAGCACCACTTGACTCGATTAGTCTGTTTTCCCAACAATCCCGTTAAACGCACCTTCGGTTCGTTCCATTACTGAAGACGCTCTTTCAGGGTATTTAATTTAAAAAAAAACGACCTAGAGGATTTTCTTCTATTGCTTCCAGCCCATCACGACCAAAAGGCCCTACACGACAAGCTGGAATCGACCCGAAGAGATCTGGAAGAAGAGCGCGAGACCCTCGAACGTCTGAAACGGGAAGCAACAAGTCGTTCCGACCAAGATCGCGTCGCCATCAATCAACTGAAAGATGAATTGAACAAGTTTAAGGTGATTTTCGCACGTTTGGCATGGTTTAGACATGATCACGATGCACGTGGTTGGTATGGCGTTTGTTTATCATTGGTTGAACGTTGTTTTTATTTATTATTTTGGACACAGATACATGGTGAGTAGCTAGATTAACAACCACATTTTGCCTTCCCAAGTAAGAACTGGTTTCGCTAAATCAAACACCCTGTATGGGGGTAAAGGATAATTTCAACTATTGGAAGTTTTGTCTGTGTCTGAGTAACTTTTTCTGTGTGTATGTGTGAGTAGACGTTTGCACTAGGGCTTGGAATCTTTAAAAATCTGATATTCGAATAGTAAAATTATTCGAATACTCGAATATCTAACGAGTATTCGAATATTCGAGTATTCGAATATTCGAGTATTTCTATTCGTATTCGTTAGATATTCGAGTGTTCGTTTTCCGTTCACCGTTTTCCAAGAAGAAAAATCGTTATCTCATATCATTTTTGGCAACTAGCCGCAACGGATAAAAAAGCGCCTTTGTCGGCACATTAATTGTAACACCGCGCAAAAGTTGAGACGCGTATCACCAAAACACAGGGACGTAATTTTACATTCATTTGCAGGAGAGTAAATATGATTATTTTCATTTGCTTGTAAATATATGGGTATTTGTTTAAATGCTTGTAGAATATGAATATGATATTCGAATATTCGGATATTCGAGTTATGAATATATAATTATTCGCATATAATATATAGTATAATATAATTAGACATAATTATTCGCTTTTCGAATATTCGAATACTCGAATTATTCGAGTTTGATTCCGAGCCCTAGTTTGCACCAAAGCACTGATCCCAATTTCAAGATGTTTTCATGTGAAATAAGTGGAAATTGATGGAAAAATTGCCTATCGTGAGTGGCTGAAATCGGAGTGAAAAGTTTATTCTGGTTTTTGTTCTTAGAAACTCCCGGGATTAATTTTTCCAGCACACAGGTGCACTTTGTGTATTTTATTAAATTATTAAATAAATAAATTAAATATTAAACTTTTATCTCGGTGTATTTGAGGTCAGTTTGTTAAAATTGTCGCAATTTTTAAGGTTTCGAGGTGAAATTTGCAGGAATTTGTCAATTATGAGTGGTTGCAATTGCTGTGAAATTTCGATCTGTCTTAAGAGCCCCTCATATTAAAACCAGTTTGTAAGTACCTAAGTAGACAGTCGCTAATAAATCTATTTGTGTAGTTTGAAACCACTCGTTAGTGCCCATTGATGAACGTTTTTGCCGTTGGTTGCTTGCATCAGCGAGAAAATATTAACGATTTTTATACGGCCTTTGTAAATTATTTCTCTGTGTGCATGCAGACTTCGGTATCAAAGTCCACCTGATATAATGATATAAAGCGGAAATTTGGGGCAAAAATTGGGTATGGAAAGAGTTAGAAGTCTATCGATGAGCGCTGAACTTCCATATGAATTTTGCTTTTTTGGGAACGCATGAAGTTGGATAATTCAAAAATGTTTAATCGGGTTTTATGTTTTTAGAGACTCTCCTGTTGATGTTTTTTTTCCTTCTCTCTTTGAACTTTTGGAGTGATTTTGTTACCAAAACACTGGCAATTTTAAATTTGTTCAGCTGAAATTAGCAAAAACCGAGCAAAAAGTTGCCTCTTGTCTGTCATTGAAATCAGCGAAATTTCGTTGTCTTCAGTGTCCCACAACTTTAAACCAGTGCATAGTTTGTATGTAGTACTGAGTAGCTTTCTTTGTTCAAATTTTTTCGGAAAAAGACAAAACACTGTTCAATTCGAAATCCGCTGATTTTTCTGGTAATTTTAATTTAAAAAAATGGAAAAAATGCAAGATTTAGATTTAGAAAATGTATTTTCCACAGCGTCAAAACTCCAAAGATTTAGAATACGGCAACAGTATATTTTCAAAAACCTTTCAAAAATTGCCCCAAAAGATTCTTCATTTTGGACTTTGTAGTTTCAAAACTTGATTTTAAGGTTTCCAATACATTTTACAGGACTCGGAAGTTGCTGAAGGTAACTTAACCACAAGCCGATTTATTGGGAGAAAGACGCAAAGCAAAACACTGTTCCATTCGAAACTTGCAAATTTTTCTCTCAGATTTACATTATCAAAATATTGAAAATTTTGAGCTCTTATTTGCAAAAGAATGGAATATTATTTTTAAGCTTCAAAATTTGTTTCAAAAATTGGGGGTAAATTCCAAAAATTTACTATTATTTAACTGGATATATTCAACACAACTTTTGAAAAATTGACTCAAAAAGTTTGTCACCCCAAATCGATAGAAAAATCGATTTTGTGTGGTCTAAACACTCATTTGTACCCTGAGATTGCGGAATGAAAGTTTTTGCGTTTTGAGCATCAACAAGGAACGATTTAAGCGGTCTTCGTGATTTTTTTCTGTGTGTATGTTGGATTGGGTGTCAAAACCCAGTTGAGATCAAGCCGAAACTCGAAACAAGTTGGATTCCGAAGGACTTGGAAATTAATTGGTGGAAGCTGAAATGTAATAAAAAAATAGTTCTTTTATGAAGCGTTTTGTTTTCACAGAGTCTCTTGATGATTTTTTCTAGCTGATAGATAGATGTACTTTAAGCTTTTTAAATTGCATCGCACACTTTTCTCTTCGTGGACTTTGCCTGTCTGCTTGTACAAGTCATTTTTGACGGAAGAAGTAGACATTTTCAAGTTTTTAAGGCAGAATTAACGAAATTTGACGAACAATTTGCCTCTGGTGAGTCACCGAAAAGTCACTGAGCCTCACCAACTTAAACGAGTACAAAGTTTGCGCTCGTTTAAGTGCTCCAAAAAATCGAATTCTGCCTTTTCAATGCGCAAATTCAGGGTCTTTGATCGCGGAATGAGTATTGGTGTCTGTAAATTTTTCGCCGCATGATTGTTGAAAAGCACATAATTGTGCCCCGTGCAGTCTCCGTAGTTTTTTCTCAGTGTACATGATGGATTTATCATCAAAGCTTAAGCCACAGTTTTGAAGACCTTCTAGGGGCCACAGAAGTTGAAAACGTTTTTGAATCCGTTTTTACTGCATGTAATAGGGATGGTCGGTATTTAACGTAACTGCTAAAATAACAGTGTTCCAAACTTGTAACCTGCAACCGTAGTTACAGCTAGCCGATTTAACCGTTTTTTTTTCGGAACCGTCTCATAAAACCGAAATAGCAGTGCTCACACTTCGTAACAGCTGCAGCCGTTTGCCGATTTAAAGGTTGTTTTTGGAACCGTCCCATAAACCTGACAAAGTGGTTCGCGTCAGCATGGAACCGATGCGGCATCGTCAAGCGCTCTATCCAGTTGCAGCAGTTTCAGTAACCATTTGTCAACGGAAAATATGTATATCAGCATTTTTAGTCTATAATTATTTAGTTTTCTGACATTCGTGCGAAACAGACATTTCTGTTTTTGTTATTGTGGATTATTTAATGTGAAAAAATAGTGAAATGAAATGCGAGAAATTATTTTCTAAACCGGGTGCTATCATAAACGAGCGAAGAACTAGACTCTAGTAAAAAGTATCTAATAAAAAGCATCTGCAAAAAATTTTATTGTTAAATGTTAATTCATATATATAATATAAATAATCTTTATTTTCTACAGAAAAAGTCTATGGACCCAATCAGTCTTTCTGCCCTATTAATTCATTTTTAAATGAAAGTGAGATTTTTAAACATTTTCGCATATAAACCGTATATTTTATTTAATGACTCTAGTTTTTTTGTTCTTTAGGTGGTTACTTCTGACCCATGTTTTGTTTTTGATTTTAGAATATTTCATTTTTAGTTTACCAATGTTAAGAATTATGTTTTTAATAAAGGAAATCATTATAAATCATCACTATTTATACTATCATCATCATTCTGCATTTTAATGAAAAATTTAATGTTCCTTTTGGAACCGCATTTTGAAACCTATTACCAAAGTGATTCGTTTATTACACCTTTATACTTTTGCCATAAACAAATGCAACTTTTGCCATGGAGAGCAACTTTTGCCATACACAAATGCAACTTTTACTAGGGAGGGCAACTTTTGCCATAAACAAATGAACATTTTACACACACAACACATCCGAATCAGAAGAACTACTACTGTTACTCGCCACATCATGTTTTCTGCGTTTCAGCACTTCTTCTTTCTTTCTTTTTCATTACTTTTTCTTTTTAGTTTCGCGCTTGATCTCACGATTTTGATTTTTATGGACAAATTTAATAATTTTGACACTTTCAATTCGAAAAACCTAGCCGAATTATTGATTATCCAAAAACCGTTTGAATTAGGGTATAAATCACAGAGAAAAGCCAGTAAAAAATAACAAAAATTACCTAATGAGACAAAAAAATTGTGAAAGTTCATATAAAAACAGAATCGTCTCTTGAAGAAAACCTCATTCGGAAACGTATTAAATCTGACTTAAAATTTGAAAATGAAAAAACCCTAGCAAGAATCTAGAATCTCCCTCGTCGTTCCTCGGTGAATAAGTATGACGAGCAATTATATAATAAAACCCAGTCAACAATATGGGACTAAAAGTTCTACATCTACATGGCAACTAGGGGAAGTAATGCCAAACTTACCTAAAGCAGAAACATTAAAAAAAAGTGACTTGGTGTAAAAAAAACCAGCCCGAAATCTAAATGGTTTGGCCAAGATCACACGCAACGTTTTAACGTGCTATTCTCCAATAATGCAATAAATAGCCATAAAATGCAATTCTAGCCCCTGAAAATCCCTAGCACGAATCATTTAGCAAAAAAGAATTTTATGTTGTTGAGGCGGATTTATTTTTTACAAACTGCTTGTTGGATATATCGCCTCAAAAATTATTGTCTTTAAAAAAGATAGAATTTCCTCACGTCTTTTATTACAGATTGATAAACAGTGCTTTTGATTCGCAATAAGAACGAATTATTTATCAAAAAGTAATCAAGAACTATCACCTAGAGAGTATCCTGCGACACACTTAGGCTCAAGCTGTA